GGTGCGCCACAGCCGCCTTCATTAGGGTTGAATAATATCAGGCGGAGTTGAAGTTCGTTTAGATGCTCGCCTGCTGCGGGGCAAGTTAATCGGCTTGGCCCGCAATTCTTCCTTGAAGCTTGCGGGTTTGGAATCACTAAGGGTGGGCGGGTCTGCCGTAGTACCAAACGTAAGGTAGAGTTGTATGATACAACCATCCACACGATGTCACTCGTTGGGGGCTGCCATCTGGGCGGATTACGGTAGTTGGCAAAGTCCGGACAGGGTCGCTGGGATGTGAGATCCTCTGTACCTTTAGTAAAACCTGGGATGCGCATACAGTAGGATGCTGTCGGATAAGTGATATCAGGGTGGGTGAAGTTGCTCCTTCGGGTACTTATTCCCCGAGAACATTACGCTGAGATATGAACCAACCCAGCGGATCACCATAGAGCCTAGAGAGGGGGTGGGGGGGGGGGGGGTCAAAAACCCACTTATTCTCTATTCGTACAACCACATGTGTGAGTGAATATCTTAGGATATGTCTAGGGCGGGGGTTCTGGTACTCTCCCTCGTGCAGCCCAGAAATACTCGTATCCATGCGATCGTCTTCTTCGTCTACGGTGAGAGAAGGGACCGGCAAGGGTTACCTATCATACTCTTCTTCTCTTTTATGATACTTTGCACAAGCGACCCTAAGACTTAAACACCCGTGCCACGTGAACGCGGTAATAGGTCACCTGTCTTTTTCAGCAAGAGTTAAGTTAAAGCTTAGAAGATAATGTGGTTCTTTCTCGTGATCATATTATCGAGAATATTATCCGAGTGAGAGGTCGTGAGCAAAGGTACCGTACTCTCTTTTGTCCGGATAATCTCTTAGTTACACGGCTACGCCATTGGCTGTTGCCGCGGTTGATGGGAGAAAGAATCCATGGCTATGGAAACATTGTATATAGTATCGTCTAGAACAGGCAAATAAGCGGTTTGTAATACAAAGATGGCTGACGTAAGTACTAAGTCGGATGAATTGGGATTTATGGTGGTTTGGTGGGTTGATAGGGCTTTGTGTCTATAATAACATAATATTATTATTATAGAGTTTGACAGCGGGGAGGGCCAAGAGGGATTCGCCGGGAAGCTGCTGAGCTCGGGTATCTCGGGCCGATAAGGGCTTTTATCCACCAGGTTGTGATGTGCTGGGTGATAGAAAGTGGTTTGGAGATTAGAAGAGTTAAATAGATTGGTATGTACTAGAGTATTACAAGACAGAGATTTCAAAACTGGCGCCCCTAGGAACAAAATAAAGAACAAATGACTATGCAGGCTGTTACCGGAAGAACATCGCTCTGATAAAGAAGAGAACCAGACCCAGACATAAGCCACCATATAGTATGACGCCGATATGCAAACCACTTACGCCGCCTAGCCACCTGAAAACTCTACACACGGCCCCACAATCATTGTCGTCTTCAACTTCCTCGACCTCTTCGAGCTTTCCGGTTCTCCCATCAGTGAATAGCATCCTATCCTTATGGATCTCCATAATCGGCATCGGCCACCTCCCCACACGGCCCGAGCGGTTTACCCCCACAAACACAACTGTATAATTAAAATGATACCGATCATCCCAATCCTCGCACACGGCTCTCGAACAGTAATCCGTAACGGTGAAATTCACCCTTGCCGTCTCCCCCTCGACAATCCCACCAAACCTCATTTCGTACGGCTGCCCGGGCGGCACACGGCCCACCGGCGGTCTCGAGTAGAGGTACTTTTTCACCCCGCGCGTGTTTGCCACTCTTCCAGTCTTTCCTGTTTTGACGAGGCGACTGCTCCAACTTATGGGCCAGTACAGCTTGAGCTGGTTCGCAAATTCGTCCTGTGGTGGGGTAGGTACTGAGTAGCGTAGCTCTCCACCGACGTAGACGTAGGTACTATCGCCCTCCATGTCGTCCATCATTGTCTCGGCCGTGACGTCCCATAGCACCCGTCCTTCCTTCCCGCGAACTCCGTTGAGTAAGTGCGCCGGAAATACCGATGTCATGTAATTGATGCTTGAAATGCCCAGGTCACCGAATCCCTTAGCTTCGGCATCCAACGCGAGAAATAAGTCATTAGGATCGAACGTTCGAAGCCCGTAGCTGTGTGTCGGACCGAGATATAATGTTCCCGGAAGCGTCAATGGGTGTTTGAGATCCCGGTCGGCCCCGCCCAGGCCAATGGAAGCACTCCATGCGTTCGGGGAATGTAGAATTACTGTACAATTGCCCTCGTATAATGCATCGACACCGTAATATACGTAGCATTCTTCCTCTAGGCACTTATATTTCTCGGGGTATGTTTCGTAAGACTTATCGCTATCCAGGAGGAGTTCTGGGTCGACCCCCGACGGGAAGGCCCGCGTCGTGTGTGGCGTTGTCAGGCCGAGGAGGAGAAGGAGAATTAAGCCTTGGGGGAGGGCTATCAACGATAACATTTCGGCGGCGGCGGCGGCGGACAGAGGAGGGGATCAGTCGGCAGTAGCGGCGGGAAGAAGGTCGGGAGGTAGTGATGGTCTAAGCTTCGTAAATTTTTTTTTTCTCGGGGGGAACTCACATTGGGACTTTTTTTACAGGAGGTGCTGAGTGAGCGGCGGCCAAGGTTTGCGCCAAGTGCCAAGTGAAGCTCGGCTGTTACACCAGCCGCGCCGGAGGACAAATGACCCGTAAGGAGTATGGGGGAGCTTGTTATTAAGGACAAGATCATCCTTGTAGGTCTGGGGAGCTGGAAAGTGAAAGCTTGGATTTCGTGATGAAGGTTGATAGAGGGGGGAGATATTTTGGTTGCCCTGGTGACGAGATGTGTGTGGTGACAGCCAGGTGGGCTCCCGCCCTTCCCGGCAAAGAGCGGTTTCACAAGGTTATTCTTGTGGAACGCCTGGTCACGAAATGTCACTCGAATACTGGAAGCTAACTGGGTTGGTAGTGATCACGGGAGAGCTCGTGCGGTCCATAGTTGGCGGAAATAAATGTAGTTCTTTTGATTCTACGTGTGAGGGACATGGAAATTTGAATGGGATGGGTTCAATTAGATGCTTTAAGCTTGCTTCTAGTTCTCGGATCATTAAGAGGCACAATAGAGTAGTATATGTGGTGGGGTAATTAGATTGAAATGCTCTATATACGTGGTAACTTCTGGTAAGTATATAGCTGTTCATACCATACTCGAGATGTTTGTGGCTTACTCGCTCCCGGAGATTCTCTCCCTAGTGACAACGTGCCCAAACATAGCGCAGGTATATAGACATTGGGAGGCGCAAGACCAAGCTGACTAAAGCCCATCACGCAGCCAAATGGCCCACGAGCAACACCATGGCTATAACTTCACTAAAGACGGAAATATACCTTTCAAGATCAACTTCCCTCTTGGAAATTCTATCATATGATATGAACACCACATCTTGTTTCGCGAACTGTGCCCTAATATTATGAAACATTTGGTTCTCGTTGGCATAGCAGAATTCTTACCTTATCCTCATCTATCTTCCGCATCGACCCAGCAATTAGCTCGTGGTAAGTGCCCAAGCTTGTTTGTCGGTTTCTGGGGAAACACGTTGCCAAAGCTTATCCGCCTTCACCCCACCACACAGGCGCTCATCATCATACCCTTTTGCCACCGATCTCACCACATCGAAATTCCTTTCGACCGCCACTCGCACGACAGGAAAAAAAAAATGCCTCCCAGCATCGCCGCAACAACCGCTCTTATCGACCATAAAGAATCTAGCTCCTCGTTCGTTTACAAACGCTACCTCCACAAACTCCCCCATTCCGCTTTCTTCGTCGTCAAAAACCACTCGGAATCGGCTGCTTGCATGGCCTGCGACGAGACACCTTGCATGGCATTGAACCAGTGCACTAAATGCGACCTCCAAATATGCAGTGCCTGTGTATTCATCCTTGTCCGCGGAAACTGTCGCGGGAATCTGAAGCGGTTGATTGCTCAAGTTGCGAGATGGAAGTTGGGCTATTCCGTCGAGTTTTTGGAACGTGAGGCTGAGGAGGAGCGTGCAAGTAGGGCAAAGACGGAGCGCGTCATTAGAGCGGATGGGAATGGCGACGATGACCAGAAGGAGGAGGGAGAGGTAGGGGGGGTGGAGCGGGAGGATGAAAGGCCGAGGGCTGTTGAGCATTGCATGTGTGCTATTGATGATGGGAGGCTTTGGAAGGACAACGCTTCGGAGAGTTCTACTGATGATGAAACCTTGGACCTTAGTCAGGAAACTTTGGAGGACTCGTTTGAAACAGCCTTGCAGGAATGGAGTGCTCTTGGTGGAGGGCGTTATGAGGGGGACGAGGTATGAAACTCTCAGATGTTTGTTCTGCTTTGATCCTGTATATTCTGTTTCCTCTAAAAGTTACCTTTTTTTCTTTTCTCTCTTTTTTTCCCTTGAAACTTCTGACTGAAAGATTTGATAGAATTACACTGATAACATGGAAATTCTTGGAACTCTTGACTGAATCAAAGAGGAGGAAGAGGACTTGTTCCCGCCTACTTGCCCCCCCCCCAAACCCAAGAAATCATGGTTAATCTCCCTTGTTTTCTTTTCCTACTCGGCTGTGTTAAAAGTTACACCTTTCTTCTCTTTCTTTTCTTTTCCTCTACGGCATGCTTTGTAATTAAGGGAGGGGAGAATGGAATTGTGGATTTACTGGCTGCGATTTGTATCTTAAGCTCTTCTAAAATGAGATACTTCGGTAGATGGATTGAAGGATACGTTGCTTCTACTGTGCTGCACGATGGCATCCGCTTTGGTAATACTAGAACTTTCGAATAATGCCAACAAAGCTCTTCGATCAGAGTCAATAGTAGTCTACTGTACCTCAACCACAACACAATACTGTGCCTCGCCAGCGATAAGATATGGACCCAACGGCCGCAAGACACTAGCTACCCGTCGCTATTGTAGCCGGAAACACCCCATCCGGGCTTCAGCCCCAGATCTAATGACATAACTACCAACCACCCACCTATAGTATCAAGCGCTAATAGCTCAGTTGGGAGAGCGTCAGACTGAAGTTTATCTTCAGTGCTTAGCAAACTCGGGGTAATCTGAAGGTCACCCGTTCAATCCGGGTTTGGCGCATCCTTTTTTTTCTTTCTTTTTTGTTCCCGTTCCTGTCTGGTAGGTCGTCTGCCGTTGTGTTTTTTTTTTTTGGTGCAGAGGCTTGGTATTGAGGAGGGAGTCCGGTGCGGGAGTTGCCGGTGGTGATGGGCAGATAGGGTTTGGGGGGTTGTCGAAGTGTTGCGTTCCTTGGTATGTTGGTGATTGAACGGCTGGCAGGGGGGGGGGTTCACGGCGCGTGGTGTGCCGGTAGGAGGGGCCTCAACGAGTTTTGGTGGGGATTGTGTGCTGCGCACTCTATTGGTGAGAGCTAGAAAAGCTCGGATATGGGTTGGAATGGGTTGTTTCTACGAGTGATATCTCGTGTATACTATCAATCCATATACGCTTAAGTATGTTTTATCGCTAAGTTGGCAGCTACTTGGTATTTCTGGGTGGATTTGAGATGAGAAAAACGATCTCGGAGTTATATCGTTTGTAACTGGAGTGGTAGTTGACATGCGAGGCATAAATAGTAGAGAGTATCGCGGAGAATAATTGGGCATTTTCCGGGGGAGGCTACAGGCGCTTCTCCTACTTAGATCCCCCCTGTCTTTCTTAGTGGGGGATGGGAGACAGTTTTTTTCCCCCCAAATAACTTGTTTCTAAGGCTGGGAGTTCCAGGTTTTAGTAGAGGTTTAAGCTTGGATTTATGGTGGCAGATGTTTCTGGATGTTGTGACGTTTCAATTCAGGAATCATAACTACCGAGGGTATTCCCGAATGAGTCTGCGACGAAGCAAGACTGTTCGAATGATTGGCTCTACTAACCGGCAGACATTTTTTTTTACACGCTTTCATTCAGCCTTAGCACATCCAGACGGCGATCACCAGTCAAATTCCACTCATGCCAAGAAAAAAAAAACAAAAAAAACATACTGGAGAATAAATGTTTTTCGATTTCTAGTTCAAGCACTTTTGTGTAAGTCCGAGAAGCCAAAAAAAGAAAATGGCGACATCAATCTGTGAATAAACAAAGGCCTAGCATAGTTGGATGATAGCTAGCCGGATAAAACTTGATGCTATCGTGCTTGAACTTACTGAGCCTCTATCTATATAATTTAATTGCTAGCAGGGCGTCCATGGAAGCGACTGGGCCGTTTCTTGTGCCCCTCGTGCTCGTCTTCAATGTGACGTTCCAGGTTGACGACCGAGAAGATGACGGTTGTGACAATGTCTATGGTCTCTAGCGTGACATGCTTTAGGACCCACATCTGCCCTGTGAGGAGGTGAACCTGAGCGATTGGATGGTTGGAGTTGGCGATGTATAGCTTTGTCAATACGAGGCTAAATTAGTATCATTCTTTCCTACCTCATAACCAGGGGGGGGGGGAATGAAATAATAGATACCCTAACACAACCGCCTTTGACCTCCGGGAACATCTTTGTAACCTTCTCTTCAACTTTTGGTTTTCCAAAGATGAAGTTGTAAGAAGAGCTATCTGGCGAAGCCCCGCCATCGCGCTCGTTGGACGGGGTGGTGGCACTTGCGGTGGAGGGTTTTGGGCGGTGTCGTTTCGAGCTAACGTTTATATCCTGTGTCTTATCGTACACAATCCTCCAGCTGGAGTCCTCGGACACCCACCAGTAGGTCTTCGTGCCGGGTCCGGTGTCCGAGAAGAAGAGGTTTATCGGCTGTGACTCCACGGATCCCATCTCTTCCAGGGTTGTGTATAGGGGATTACGACCCTCCTCACCGCCCTCTTTTCCCGCGAAGAATTCCGCGAGTGAGCGGTCTGGCCTGGAGCTCGGAGTTATGAGATGGGGGGTGGGATTTAGGTATATCTTTGCCGCCGGAATATCACGCGGGGTATCGCTGTATGCCCTCTTTATCTCTCTCCTCGGAGGGGTGACCTGTTCAGCGCCCGTGGAGGCGGGGGTGGTTTGTTGTTGACCCAGACCGGCCCTTTGCCTCAGGTTGCTGATGGATATGGTCTTCTTGAAGCCGCTGTGGGCACCAGCGTGATTGCCGAGGGTCGCCGAGCGAGGGAGCGGGTAGGAGATCGGTGCTACGTATATTTGCTTCTCCTTCTCCTCTTCTCTCCCCTTGCCGCTGTTGCCGCCGCCTGAAAACATGCCCGCCCCGTTCTTGCTGTTGTACTTCTCAGACTGGGGCGGGATTAGGCGCCACTCGATGAATTCCTCGTAGAAACGGATGCAGGCTACTGTTGAAGATTGCATGGTCGAGAAGTCCTTCCGGTCCAGGAACGATTGTATCAAGTTTGGGCGAGGGTGGCCGTTTTCGCCCCCGTGGCTAATGCATTCGCTGGAATAGGTTGGGACTTTAGGATCTTTGATGGGTGGACTGTGAGAATTGCCTGCCTGAGCTCCGAGTCCCTTCAGATTCTTCCATATCTTCCTGCCCAGGCTGTTAAATTTGGTCGCGCCCTGCGCGGCATCCTGTTGGATCATCCTGTCTGCCGGATGCCTACCGGGATAGAATATGTAGAATGGCGAGCATGGGTTCGGGCCTAAGCCATATGCGGTTGAGAGATGTAGCGTTCTATGTTGAAGAAAATTGCATAGAAAAAAAAAAAAAAAGTTAGATAGGTACAAGTAGGTGGCACTACGACCCAAGCTTCCCCTTCCTGCCTGCCGCCGCAGCGGGGGGAACCAAAATTGTGTTGGTGATGATAATGACAAGGAACGGGAGGAGGGAGGACCTACTTGTAGACATTAAAAACCAACAACTCATCCCGGTGGTAAGGGTTTGGCAAATTGGTAGAGGGTAGATTAGCAGAGTAGTCCCTCCCTTCTTTAAAGAGTGAAGAAAGGAGAGACTCCTGCAACTGCTGAAACGAAGAGGCCCACTCGGGCTTTAGGTGTGCGGTTGCTGGATTGAGATCTTCCAATGGGGACACTAATGGAGCATGAACCCGGTCGAATGGTCTGTAAGCTCCGGCCATGTTTTATGAACGAAGGGGGGTGGGGGGGTTTTGAAAGTGAGGTTTATCAATGAAAATATATTAGGGATTAGTGAAGAGTTCTGAACTGGATTTTTCGCCTCCTGGATATCTCCTTTAGGCGGGAGGAAGGAAGGAGGAGAGAGAAGCGATTTAATGGATGGGGGGTTTCTTGGGAAGAAGGGGGATGTGATAACAGAACAGAATAAGAGAGCTCTCTTCCTGATTGTTCCTGCCCTCCACCCGTTGAGCTATGATATCGTTGTCACAGATCTTGAGGTAGGGTTGTATCTTGAATAGCTAGCGGCGGCTCTCTATTGCCAAAATGAAAGACCTAGGTGTTCGTGATTGTTGTGGGCGTAGGTGTTCGTAGTAGGTTTTACAAGTCAACGAATCATATTCTGTGATGAAGAGTGTGCAGTCTATGAAAAAAATGGAGGAAGCAAGCTCATATGGCACCGCACGTTTAAGGAAGTTAAGCGGATAATGGATTTTAATTACAAGATCACAGCACGTCATAAAAAAAAACGCATCCTCTTACTCATTGAAACAGCCATGATTCCGGGGGAACCAGGGTGAACTAACCTTTGCTAAACGTTGGTGTTGCCCCCTAGTAAGTTTTGATACTTTGTTCTCTTGAGTTTGTCTCACAAAGCAGATTATTGGTAATATTCGTAAACACCTTTTCTAGTGGGGGGAAGTTTTGGACTATGATAGCTAGAATAATGTGGTCCGTCTATTTGGGTTCTCGTACTTGTGTGCAAATTAAGTTATGGTGTACATCAATGAAAAAACGCAGCAAAATCTAACGCCCGTTGGACCATAACAGTTTACGTGCAAGTAGTACAATACTGGAAAAAGCAGTTCCTAATGGTCGACTTGAGACATGTTGTAGGGATGTGATTTCCGGTTAAACCGCCCCCTAACAAACAAAAACAGATGCACATCGCCGAGATGTAGCGCTCGCTCCGGAATGGTGAACTTTGTCTCTCCCTCGCACCGAGAGCACAACGCCCCGATGCCACAATAGCTCCTAGTTCAGGAAATTCACAGTCTAGAATTCTTCAGATATATCGTTAGTTAAACAAAAGAATATTGCCCACGGTTCCCGCCACCCAAGCCCAGTGATCCCAAGGGGCTAGTCCGGCTTTGGTTTTGAAAGGCCTGGGTCAGTCCGGTCGAAATTCTCTGCGGCCACTAAAACCCGGCGGCCCTCATGCAACCGCCAGGCCGAGTCTTGGCGCAACCCAGATCAAAGCCGCCAGACGCCCAGGCAAAGCCGCCAGATGCCCAGGTAAAGCCGCCAGATGCCCAGGCAAAGCCGCCAGATGCCTAGGCAAAGCCGCCAGATGCCTAGGCAAAGCCGCCAGATGCCTAGGTAAAGCCGCCAGATGCCCAGGCAAAGCCGCCAGATGCCCAGGCAAAGCCGCCAGATGCCCAGGCAAAGCCGCCAGATTCCCAGGCAAAACCGCCAGATGCCTAAGCAAAGCCGCCAGATGCCCAGGCAAAGCCGCCAGATGCCCAGGTGATCTGAAGATATCTATTGACTGCCTGCAGCGTTTCCATTTTTAATCATTCGGAGTAGGATAATAGGAGCAACATTCCCCCGGTGCTATAGATCTCACTTAAGACAAATCCATGTCATCCACAGATGAACCACCACGATACCCAAATATACTGTCTAACCTCAAGACACTATACCATTCTTCATGCAACTCTCTAACCACTCTGAGTGAATATGTATTAACCGAGTGATTTTATAAAGAATTGGTCCTGTTGGATGATAGAGTATTTCTTAGTAATGAAACACAAATGATCTCTTGAAACATCGGCCTGCAGGTGACCCAGACCGGGCCCGGCTTTGATTTGGAAAAGCCGCTTTCCCACAGTCCAGCCGGGCCGTACTCGAAGCCGGACGGATTGGCCGCTTGAAATCACCGTCCAAGCCTTGTTCTTTGGGTGTCCCGGTAAGTCTATGACAAGGAAACAGCCCAGTATATGCCTCCCATATTTCATTTCCTTTGAACTCAAAATGGTGTATAGGGCAGCTACAGGCGGTGTTGGTCATTGTCTATCCAGT